TGGCATTCCCTTCCCTCTTCCTGCGTCCCCTTCGGTTTACTCCGAGACTCTGCGACCTCTCAGTCTGTGTCTTGAGAGGTCAAGGAGCCTCTGCTTACTGCTGTGTCTTGGCCTGTCTCTCGAACTCTCCATAGTCTATCTATGGCCATAGCTGCCTTTCTTTGAAAACTACTTCATATTGTACACACATAACTGATTTCAAAATGGCTTTTCTGTTCACGGACTATCCATTAACTTATATAATATAAACTGAGGCACAACACAGAGAGCCCAGAGCCCCTCAGCTCCCCTGCCAGCCCTCCGGCATCATATCCCTGGTCTTCCAGGGCAGTCCTGTTCTGAATCTTGTGTTTATTTTCTTCCATTTTTAAAATAAATTATCTCAACTTATATGTTCCTGACTACCCTTGTTAAAAACTGTTCAGGACTTTTAAAAACAGGGCTTAAGAGCTGGCACTCAGCATTTTCCCAAGTTTATCCCCTTGGAATGTGAATTGGAACGATTTGGTAAGAACAAGCACTTAACCTACCCTATGGCGGAATATCTTTTTTTGTTTGTTTGTTTGTTTTTTATGAGACAGGGTTTCTCTGTATTGTTTTGTAGGCTATCGGTCCAGCCCGGCCTTGAACTCACAGAGATCCGCCTGCCTCTGCCTCCCGAGTGCTGGGATTAAAGGCGTGCGCCACCGCCCGGCCCCTATGGAGGAATATCTTAACTTCCAGGGGAGACGACAACATATTTGCTGACGTGCACCAGGAGCTATGAGCCAGTGGGCTGGCCGTTTTGATAGCAAGAACACAGAACGAGTTCAGATGGCTGACAAGGGGATGGGATGGGAAAAAAAAGCAATGCTTTTCTGTCTTAATTAGGAAGACTGACGCAGCCCTCACTTAGCTGAAGGGAAAAAAATGTAGAAAGCTCAAGTACATGATTCAAAGTGTACACCTACTGTGTTCTAGAACTGAGAGTGGAATTAAGGTCATTGATGTTTTGGAGCCTTAGTTAGTTGGAATTAACCGTGTTGAGCTAAAATAATCCTTCTCCTAGGTTGCTTTCGTGGCAACCCCGCAAATGATTGGCAGCAGTAGCACGGAGGCTGGATGGTATCTAGAATGGCCCGGTTTTATGCAGATACTTTAGGAAAGGTTTGGTTGTTGGGCACATCCCCTTGGGCGGCATCCAGAGCCCCTGTTGCAGCTCTGCTCTTCTGTCCTCAGAGACCCCCTCCCCCTGTATCTAACCTGCCTGAGCTCGCTTGGTGGAGGTAACAGAGGTAACAGGGTCAAACATGGCTTGCTCCTGTCTGTGTTAGATCCCTAGGCCTGAGCAACCCCCCCCCGTTCTCCTGGTGATCGGAAGAAACGCCTACTACTGTGCCTTGTGAGTTTGGCCAGGCTGCACAGGGCAAGTGAGGTACAGCTCTTGAATGCCACCGACGCAGTTGACCCGTGGAGGACTGCCATATGGCGTCAGGGAGAAAAAGCAAGGGAGTAGATACTTGATACCTTGGGTAAACCAGTAGTTCTTTTAGGTGGAGTTTGCCAGCTAATTAGTTGTTTTTGGCCCTGGGAGCAGCAATTGGAAATAATAGTAGAAATTAACTTCCTAGCTCCCTTCTTAAGGCTCTGAAGGTTTCACCCCCCCCCCCCAGACCTGATAAGGGCCATGTCAGGGTCTTGCAAGGATGGTTGCCTAAGTCTGTCAGACGCTGCACTGCAGAGTAATAAACGGAACTAACCGGCTGGCTGTGCTTTTACACCATCACTCTAGTAGGTATGAAATCTAAAGAGAACAGGAGGCTCACTGGGGCCCGGCTAATTGGAGCCCTGGTGTCTGTCTGCACAGGGTTCTGTCCCTGACCTGACATGTCTCCTAGGTATTTAAAGTAGCTTGAGCTGAAGAAACGGGGCGGCGTGGTCTTTTTTTTTTTTTTTTTGTAAGCTCTCAAAGAGACCTGGCTCCTATTCTCAGCACCCACCTAGTGGCCCGCAGCCGTCTGTAAACTCCAGCCCCCATCTGCTGATATCCAAGGGCGCATGTGGTGCACATGCATGCATGCATGCGTGCAGACAGAGGATCCATGCAGATGACTGGAGATGAATGCGTCCTGAGAAGACTAACTGGCACTTTCCACCTCTTCCCGCCTGTGCCTACGCCAGCTTCCCGAGGGCGAGGCATGTGTGCGCGAGTGTAGGGCTTTCGCTGCCCCCTGCTTAGAAAGGCTCTGGACAGTGTGTGACGAGTAAGCGGAAGCTCAGTGCTCACTGCTTTTTGTGTGAGTTCGTCCGCGTAGCTGCGGGCAAGCTAAGCACTCAGCTGCGAATGGCGAGTCTGTCCAGAATCTTTGGCATGTTCTTTTGTAAATCGTAACATCCTGTAAGATCAGTTACGTAGACGTCTTTGGGTATAAACTAGAATAACTATGGTCATGGTTTGCTATGCATTCTCATCGCAGTGGTTAAGCGTGGTTGTTCATTGGTAAATTGTTATCTCCTTCAAACTCAGCAACACAAAAAGCCAGCCCTGTAGAATGTGGAGTGTGTACCTGCAGCCAGTGGCCTGCCCGTGACCCTCCATGCTCTGCTTCTTTCCCTGGGATCTGCATCTTGTCTTACCTAGCTTTTACTTTTCTGTTTTACACTTTTACGGCAGCTGTATATTTATATGCATACACACACACACACACACACACACACACACACACACACACACACACACACATCTGAGAACTGCCTGCCCTTTGTAGACCAGGCGTGAAATCGCTGTGCTGAAGCGTAGACTAATGCTGCCTTCCTTTGTAAAAATCTTTTTGAGCACGTGCTCTTTAGGTTAGCACTTGACACTCTTCTAAACTGCATTAAAATGGATGTTTTAGAACTTTTCACAACTTTAGCTTGCGCCCTAGATGATCTGGATGGGCATGCTAACAGAAGCTCTTGTCCATGATCTTTAAGTGTAAAAAGGGAGTCCCGAGGAGAAAAGTTGGATAAAATATAAAATACGCTTAACTGCATTTGCTAATAGAGGAATTTTAAATTGTGGTTAGTTTGTTAATTTTACTACTTTAGCCTCTAACCTGTGTGTACTGAGCAATATAAATACAGCCACCACCTCTGTGGATACAGGCCTAATGGTGAACTCCAGGAAGGAGTGCCCGGACTGTGGAGCGTGCAGGTCCCACAGGGCAGGCTGCACTCATGGACCTGGTCCATAGCTGTTCACTACGTATGCTTTCTCCAGATGTCCATTTTTCTGCAGGACTTAGGTAGTCTGTAGGTCGGTATATAAGGTTTCATTTCCCCTTAGTTTTAGAAACTACTTGGCAGCTATCTCTGTGCTGGATTACACAGGTTGGGCGATTTTGTGTTGATGCTGCCCTTGGTAGGGCCGCCCCTCACTGACCGAGCTGTTTGTGCAGAGGGTGGGAAGAGTTTCATTGAGCATCTCCTACGTGCCAGATACACCAGCCTCTGTTGCTGGAGGTGTTTGCTGTTGAAGTACGTGATGGGACAGAGGTGAAGCAGGTTAGAAAGTTAAATCTCAACAAATAACGTTAGTCAGGGTCTCAGTAGATCAGGACTCAGCTGCTAATCTGCAAAGCCTGCTTCCTTTTGAGTCCCAATAACACTGACTATTTTATGATTACTGCCCTTGTTATGTAAACATCCAGCCGAAGGGCTAACCAGCCTTGCGATTTGCCTCTGTCCGTGCAAGTGCCCTCAATCACTGTGTTTTAGAGACCAGGAAATAGGTTTGAAGCTGGCTGGTTGTTTCCCCTGAGTAGTGTCCTTGCCCTGTATTAGACAAATCATGTTTTGTCCCTGAAACTTGCTGAACTCGTTTTTCAGAGTGGTAAGACAGAGACTTAAGGAGGTCTTCCCAGTGCCATCTGTCTGTCTGGAACATCCGGTGACCTGATAGCGTGTGTGTGCGTGCGTGCGAGCGTGTGTGTGTGTGTGTGTGTGTGTGTGTGTGTGTGCATGCGCGCGTGTGCGTGAAGTCTTGGAAGGTGGAGGGCTGTAGCCTCCGGGGTCAGTGCCTGGAGGTGTTACCAGAGATCTCCTCTATCACATGAAATCACGTAGCACACGACAGGAGGTAACGGCAGAGAAAGGGCTCCCCTTTCTTTTTAGGAAAAATGATCAAATTTTATGCCCACCCCCCCATGACAGTTTCTTGCGGTTAGTGCTAATATTTTGAAGTTGTCTGTATATAGTAAATATTGAGTTTACTACTTTTAAAAGATTTTCAGCATGAGGGCATGTTATGCTTGAGTTGTCTAAATTTCTCCATTCAGTCGCAAGTTTACAAGTTTTCCATAAAATGGGACTTATTAACCTGACACCCTTTAGGTAGCTGGTAAACAATTTAGAGGATAATACAAGCCTGTTTTATGGTAGAAAATTGTTAGCCAAGGCTTCATGGACGTTGCTGTACAATGTATAGAAAAGTAAATTATAGATTAAACTTTATAAGCATATTCCTCATCCCTGCCACTTACAAATTAAAACTAAAACCTCTCTCTGCATGTTTGTTACGTCTTAGAGGAAAAAACCCAGAACTTAAGAATCAAGGAAATGAAAGTCTAAGCCATAAGACACAAGCACCATGAAGCCAATTTAATTCCTGTTTCTTTCTCTTAAAATTAAAATGTGACTCACCGTTAGGTCCTCATCAGTAGCCTAGGCATTACTGTTTCGGAGAAGACTGTAACGATTTCCTTACATGAAGTAGCTTACGTCTGGCTTCAGTTTTGGTGGGATTGTGGCCTTCATGCCATGCTCAGTATTTGTTTTCTGTCTTGAGCATTTTAGTTATTGGACTGCCTCTGCTGTGAGGATTGCATCACAGCCCAGCTGTACTTGTCCACTTTACAGTATCAGATAACTCATTTTAACCCCTTCCCTGCCAACTCACGTTGCTGTCCCCGCAGTAACTCACGGTTTTCTAAAACAGTCCTTTAACTGTATCCTGAACGGGATGGAATTTTCCTACTCACCAATTCTTCCAGTCTCTCTCTACAGCCCTTGTAGGCGAGACTGGATCAGCAACAGAGTATAACATCTGACGGGTGCTGTACTGAGGGAAACGTACTTCGAATTTTGCCCTGGGCCGCTTATGTTGACAAGTGGGAAACGCTGCATTAGCTGGCAAGCCAAAACATTCCAAGTGCTCTCTGAAATGCTGACTTCTCGCCAGACTCTGCTTGAGCATCCAGCAGAACTAACCTTAAGAGGTCAGCCCTAATCCGAGCTCGTGCAAGTCGTATCGGATGCAGATTTGTGGGGTTACAAATGGTCCTGGCCCGGCCAAGGCTGACCAGTGTGATGGGGTGTGAGTCCAAGGAGGGGAACCCAGCTGGCAGGAGGATACATTGTTCCCATGTCTAGCTGTGACCTTTCCTGTGAAGCTGTAGTAATAATAGCTATAGCATGCTCGGTCTGGAAGCATCCTGAGTCTCCTCCTAGCTAACTTCTTCAAAAACAATTTTTTTCCTGGAAAACTAGAAATTAATTTGGGAGTGAAGCACACCGGTGTGCTTCTAAGGTAGCGTGGGAGCTCTGTGAGCATGGGTATCCGCTGGCCCCTTGACCTGTGCTGGCCGTGTGCATGACCAGAAAGTGGTCCCGGTCTCTTTGGGGAACACGGGTGCCCTCTCCGAGGGGTGCATTGAATGCCGACTGTGCCTAGGCCGCACCAGCAGCCTTCAACGGGGACCTCCGATCTTTCTGGTGTGCCAGTACAGCTCCAGTCTGATTTTGGACGTCCATCCTGTTTCCATCTTGACCCTTGCTGCTTGACCCTGGTTCCTGGGTATTTTACCAAATGCTCCCATGGCTTTTCCCTCTTTGGTCACATTCTGGATCTGCAGAACCACACCCCATCTCTCGGTACCGGAGCACCCAGGCTCCCCCACGTGCTCTGGTCTGATCTGAAGGCTTCTGGCATTTGGGATCTGCCTCCCTTCCTTTTGCCCTCCCTTAAATATCTCCTGTCTCATTTCGCCGTTTTGTCTCCTGCCCTCTGTCTTGGAGGAGCAAAGTATAGAAGTTCCTCAAACTCTTCCTTATCTCCTAAGCCACGATCAGGCTGCTCTCGAAACTCCTCTTGCAGATGGCACTGAAAACACAGTTCTGGTGCGGCGCCCTCACTCCCCTCCACCCTGTCATCTGTTTTCCCGTGACGACTTTGAACTGTGAGAGTCCTTCCTCGCTTCCCACTTCAGGGACACCCGCCCTATGGCAGTGTTTGTTTTTTCCTTCTCTGTACAGTGAGAGTGCACACAAAACGCTCCACCTTGAGCTTCTCTGTACAGTGAGAATGCACACAAAATGCTCCATCTTGACCTGTTTTGGATCTTTGAAACGGTCCTATCAAGAATCTCAGGCTCTGCCGGGCGTTGGTGACGCACGCCTTTAATCCCAGCACTCGGGAGGCAGAGGCAGGCGGATCTCTGTGAGTTCGAGGCCAGGCTGGACCGACAGCCTCCAAAACAGAGAAGCTCCACCTTGAGCTTCCTCTGTGACCTCAGCAAGCCCAGAGCTTACAGTCCTCGTGCCTCGACGCTGGTGGTGTGGTGAAGTTGGAGGCGTGTGCCCCGCACCTGGCCCTCGAATGTTTACTAATCAGTTAGTTAATTTGAGATTACGGTCTCTTTGAGCTGAGGCCGAACGCCTCCCAAGCCCTGGGATTGCAGGTGTAGGTCGCATGTAGTCTCTCGGCCATTTCCAAGGGTTCTGTGACATCAGTTTTAGTCACGGTGTCATGAAACCATCATTCTTCAGAGCTCTGTTCGTCTTGCAAAACTGAAACTCCGTCACAGCTACGTGACCGTTTCTTACCTTCTGGAAAGTGCCACTCTGCTTTCTGTCTGCGTGAACTTGACCTCGCTGGCTCTGGTAGATGTAGGGAATCACATAGGCTTTTCATGGCTGGCTTATTTCACGCAGTGTAGTATGGTTTGGTTGAGCATGCAGCAGCATGTAACAGAATCACAGACCTTCGTCAGGCTGGGCAACATCGCATCCCGTGTAAGCATCAACCACCCTTTGTGCTCTCCACAGACACCGGCCCTTTACCCCTCCAGACAGTTGTGTGGCCCTAGGCCATGTGGGCACACAGATATTTGAGATCTGGATTTCAGTGCTTCCAGGCACAGACTCTCTTCTTAGTGGTGGTTTCAAGTATTAAGCGCAAAACCCCGTTAGTAGTTCGTAATTGGGATCTATATCTTTCTGAATAGTGTGGAGTCATCTTCAAAAGTAAGTGGTTAATCTTATCTTAAGCAAGCAAACAAACCAACAAATCTTTGAGACAGTTTATCTTTGAAATGACATTGAGATACTGACAGGACTCTCGTAAGCTGGTGTAGAAGTCCTACCTTCACACACACCTTCCCCCACCATGGAAGAAGTGTTCCTGTGGGGTAGCTCATTCTCTTCACAAGCACAGCAACCAAAAGAGGCTGTTCATCTCTCTCTCTCTCTGTCTCTCCTTCTAGTCACCAGCTAACACTAGCTACCTTCGGCATGCTATGTAGGGGCCCTGGGTGCAACCACCAGTCTGGACAAGCTGTTCTCTGTTGCTCTGTTCTAACGAGGTCTTGAGCTGTGAGGGCAGGCTTGATTGGTCAGAGAGTCTTCTGTCCTGACTGCTTACCATATTTTATTCACGGGGTTAAAAGAATATGAAAGTTAAGATATGCTGATCTTCAGTTTCTCCTCCGCGTGTCACTTGCGTCATGTATTTTGTAAGTGACACTTCTGCATGGTTGGGAAAGCCACAGTGAGAGTTTATGTACTCACTTATTTTTGAAGGCTTAAGACATAACTTTTTTTTTAAGTGAATGTGTGAAATGCAGGACTAGCTTCGTTTACTTGCAATCCATTAACGACTAGAATTTTCCCAGATAGACTGAAAGTCTTGAGTAAGGTACACATTTTTTTTTTTTTATTAAGACCGGGAGTTTGTACTGTAGGACTCAAACATGGTTCACTTTTATCGGATTAGAAGAGAGATGTGTTTCAGAAAGGCTCCAGCCTTGCATGAGCATGCCAGGAGGGACCTGGGGCTGGGAATCTCTGTGCATGATTGTTTCGTATTTTGTGAACGGAAGGAAGAACTGACAGGGACTGAGACCAGAACCTGCAACCTTTACAAGCTCAAAGCTACATTAACTAAGGAGCTTCGGTGGCCATGGACAGGACACAAACCATTTCCAGTGAGATAACGTCAGTGTCTGGGATTGAAGATCCAACGTCAAATAAAGTTGGCTGGCTTAGATGTGGAGGTGTGGGGGTGTCTAGCCTTCGGCATTACCACGTGACTTGTCACCGACAAATGTGGGAGCTGAGATGCATGCAGCCTGTAGGTCGCAGAATGGGCATGCCTGGTAGAGACTATATTCATACGTACTAATTTGAGGCACACCATTTATGACTTGGTTTTACTTGGTCCTATCTGTACTTGAACTCACAGAGATATGGCTGCCTCTTGCCTCTGCCTCCTAAGTTCTGAGATTAAAGGCATGTGCCACGCCACCACCGCCAAGCTCAGATAGGTACGTCTGTGTTTAGTCATGGCTGCCGTCCCTCCCATCCCAGGAGGTTCCCTTTTTACCCCTGCTCTCAAGATGGAGTAGAGCTACAGTATCATGAAGTATGCACTTTTTGATGTGGGTTGGACTGTACCCCACTTCCAAAGCATAGCATTCATTTTGCCGCTTTCTGCCCTTGTACCTTTCGCCTGAAAAAAGTCCGTTCCTCACTCGTTCAGCCTCTTCCCTTCAGAGAGCTCTCTCTTACCTTCCTACAAAGAATGGAGGACGGAAGCGGGGTGGCTTACCCGCTCCGTACCTTGTGATGCAACCTTTCGGGATGCATTAGCCGACTAGCAGCTCTACCAACAAAAGCTAAGAATAGTATCTGAGGACTGTTTGCAGCAGGCTCCCTGATTTTCTGGTCCATGCTTGCCTTGTGTTTTCACGTGTGGAAGTGTCTTGACGCACGACTTTCTCTGTTCCGCCACCATGAAACCTCCGCCATATTTGACATATAATTTAGAATAACCGAAATCTGTGTGTCCGGGCCATGTGGCTCGTTACTTGGTTAGAATAAACTGTCTGATGTTCTCTTTGAGGTAAAGGTGTAGTTTTGCATTGACACTGTTGCATGCCTCATGTCTAAGATGGACTTGGACTTGCAGAGAAGCCCCTGGGTCGGCTCTGTGTATACATATGTAAGCTGGACAGCCATGGGGTCAGTTTATACAGCCAGTAGAATCTTGGCCCTTTCAAATCACCGTTGCAGTGTTGCTTTTTTTTTTTAATTTCCCTAAGCGATACATACACCTTGATGCGTATGCTCATTGTATAATTTATAACAAGTGTTAAATACATTTTTCTTTGGCTTTTAAGAGCATTCAGTAACCGACATGTTTTAAATATACAAAGCGTAAGGAGTGTTGGTAGATGAGGGATTAGGTCCGCTCTGAGTTTGTCCACTTACCCTGCTGTGGCCCACAGTGGCTGTGCGTGCAACCTCTGGCTCTCTGTTGGAAGCGGAAGCTCTCTTTGAGCCAAACTTAACTTTCCTTTATACCTTTAGGATTTAGGGAGGATGGGCTTTAAAGCCCTAGGGAAGAATCGGAAAGATTCGTTTACCTTAGCCCTAACCAAGAGAAGAAAGCAGAGTGACTTTACAGGTGGGATGCTTTGGAGTGTGGAGCAGCAGATGTGAGCTGGTCTGTCCTGGACAAGCCAGGGGACATGCTCACACAAGGTCAGTATACTCTGGAGAGTTGGAAGAGAAGTCTTGGAAACTAAAATATTTTGAAGGCCCAGAACTTCACTGATACCCAGATGGACCTCAAGGCAGATCTGCCTTCTCTTACACGGTGAGTGCTGTTATCAGTGTTTGACAGCATTTTGGGGGAGTCTTTCCACGTTTCCCGAGCTTGAAAGACAGATGCCTTGACTACGGTGTCACCCGCCTTCTTCCTGCTCTTGCTTTATGGTGATCCCTATTATTCTATGGGGCTCCCCAGCGAGGGTCCCTCTCTGGGCTCTCCTTTGTCTAAGATGCACTTCCTTTTTATCCCTTAAAGTTCTGTTTGCCATGGATACAGTGTTCTGTCTGCATGTTCTGCCTGCACACCAGAAGAGGGCCTCCATGTGGTTGCTGGGAATTGAACTCAGGACCTCTGGAAGAGCCGTAAGACTTACATCTTAGTTGTAGTGTTTTGGGACAAATTCTGGTTTTGTTGTGTAATGAACATACTTATTATAATATATAAATGAGATTTATAAGTTCTGTGAAGGGTGTGTGTGTATGTGTGTGCGTGTGCATGTGTGTATGTGTGTAGGTGTGTGTGTGTGTGCATGTGTGTGCGTGTGTATGTGTGCATGTGTGTAGGTGTGTGCATGTGTGTAGGTGTATGTGCGTGTGTATGTGCGTGTGTGTAGGTGTATGTGTGTGTGTGCATACAGATGTGTTCATAACACTTAGCATTCACTGATGAAGCACGTCCCTCTGCTTGCTCCACCGTGTAACCCCTGGTTGGCCTGGGAAGGTCCCCGGTGGGTATCAGGTCACAAGAGTATTGCCGGGTGTGAAGAGTTCAGGTTTTCTGTGTGAAAGTAGAGAAAGAAGCCCCAGGAAATTGTTTGACCGGCACTGTGAGAAAACATTATAAGCTCGTTTCCTGTGACCTAGGTC